TAATCGAAACATACGCCAACTAATCTTGACTCTTCCACCGATGCATATTATTGCGAAGATAGAGGCACAAATTGCGCGACTGGGTTCATCCCATCAACAAGGACCCACTGGGATCTCCCCAAGCTTGATCAAGCATGCTGATCATGATTTTCCTGTGCTATAGTTGAACATTTTCAAGCTAATTATTGATAATGACGCATAGTCCACACAATGGAAAATAGCAGACATCGTTCCCAGATATAAAAGTGAGCCAATTCATGACATAAAGTACCGACCAATGAATCACCCTCTCCTTAACCTGAGAATGATAGAGAATAAGCAAAAGAAAAAGGCAGTTTCCTCGTCACATGAAACTTAATTAACACATTTCAGCATGGTTTTCTGTAATCTCAGTGAAGTAGGACATACTAACTGAATTTTCTTAAACACACAACAACGGCTATCGATAAAGATAGGTCGACTATAGAGATGTTTATTGACATGCGTAAGGCCTTCGTCCGAGCATCGTATCTAAAGTTGCTAAATAAGATGAAGTTTACTGGTGGTGGGGAACCGCAAATCACTTGGCTGTCATGTCATCGCCCAGATAGAAGCTAAGTGGTGTGAATAGGTAATTGGTTCTCACGTCTCATTGCGGTCACTAACGGGGTAATTCAAGGTAACATTCTCAAATACGTAAACGAGACATTTGACCGAATTAAGCCTGGGAGCGCAGTTCTGGTTTCAAGATACAGGATTATCTACTCATTGAGAGACATCAGAGAGCAAGTTATAAGACATGTGCATGATGAGCTATCAACGTTAAAAACATTGTCACATATAGCATACGTCGATCGTTGTTGATGAATGCAGTATTTTCACATAAAAACCTGAGATGCCGCCAAATAAGCTTGTGTAGCATGACACGTATGCCTCGGAAGGCACGACCACCTCTGAGTTACTCTCGTTTGATACAAATGCGTAGTGATTTTTTCTGAATAATCAGACTTCCAGATAACAAAAGCAAGAAATACGTTTGAATTCAAACTCAGAACATTCTCGATAAATGAGTTTAGGCTTCGAGTACACAAGATAAACGTTTTACCTGCCATCAAGTTCTACTCGAGCGCGTAAGTCTGATAAAGTGACTCTCGAGTGGATTCAGCGGTGTTCTGCCAATAAATCCTTCGGATACTGTATGACAATTACAGTGAGCGCTGCAATTTCTTTAAACTTGGTGCTTAACGTGTGCTTCTTATACTCATAACGAGGTGCATTGTACAAAATGACCGATACCCACTACGTGAAAAGCCTGGAACAAGCAAACGAAGAACATTAGAGGAGACCTACAAAATTTAAGAGAACGACAAGAATTTAGCTCATAGTAGGTAGTAGGTAGTAGTAGGTAACAAAAGCTTGGGAAGACGCGTTCCACAACGGTATTGGAAACCTACGAAAAGAGAAATTAGAGAGTTTTATATTAACTACATGAGGTAAAACAGAATATTTGGATTCCTGGAGTATTATAATACCTTTATTTGAGGCTCTCATGTTACCATGAAAGCTGAAAGAGAAAGCACTCCCTAATTTTCACTTAACCGCTCTCGTTACTAGGTCATGTTCAACTGATGGGGTTCACGTCCACATGGAAACTGGAAATGGAAAGCAAACCAAGCTACATTTTCATTCTCTGCTCCACTGTTACTTTGTGCGCCTAACTGGAGGCTTTCTTGTCCACATGGAAGCCGATGAGAGGAAGCCAACCGATTTTCATCACCGGGATTCAGCTTCATTATTACCTTACTCGGCCGTGATTCACTGGTGAAGATTATATCAAGATTTTAAAAATAGCCAGTTCTACACTTCGAATTCTAGAGCACGACACTCAAGATGTCCTTACTTGGTGTCCAGTAGTACACATTCGCCAGTACAACGTGATTACGCAAGATGATCATGTAAGTGGACATCCCGTCCCTACTGCGAGAATGATGCCGAACCATGTTTAAGTACAGTCGAGAACCTCTGAGCTAACCAAATTAATGCATTTAGGTTTCTACTAGCTTGTTCCTGCTGACATTCTGATAGAATCATCATACAACTTTTCTTCTGGGTTAAATTCAGTCACTTCCTCCATGAAATGTACCACGAATCGCATCTATGGTAGCAAAGAACAGAACAGCAGCAGTTGAAAATTACGTAGGAATCGATTGAGTTCAGATACATACTACAGAACCCAAAAGAAATCCCAGCATGTTTCGATTATTTAGACGGCCCTACCCCTTGACCTGTTAACCCATGCATTTGAACATATCCGCTTATTCCTGAGAGTGCATGAACGTTGTACTGTCTTGGAACAAACCCTGCGTAGGATCAAGTTCTCACAAAGTCGAGAAATATATTATTTATTTCTTAATCTATTTATTAGTCTTAAATGAGATTAGCACAATATGAGAAAACGCATCGAGGGAAGATGGAGGCAACCAGTGCACGAAAAGTGGAAGAGAAGTTGGTTAGATTAAGCGAAATATAATGGCCTCTGTGGTAGAAGAATAAATGGAGCATCGAGGGCATGCAAGAAGCCGTGCGCGGGTCTGAAGCGACGTTAAGGATACTGGTAGATACGTGAAGAGACGCTAAAAATACATACCACAATATCACAAAACATCATCTAATTCGGACTGGCTAACTAATGGCTTCACAGGATGCATTAATGCGGGCTACTCTTAGTCCAGACAGTAGGGAGAGACACAATCGATCCACCGAGGGAGATTAGTTCCATTACAGAAGAAAGTGCTACCCAGTTTGCGCTATCATTAAACCTAGGAAAACTGAGCACCGAATTGGTAAACATGTGAGCCAACTGATAGTCAATGTTTGAGGTGGACAGGATGCAGGTAATCTGACACCGGGATCAACAACGTCTGAGAAGCCAAGAGTAATTGTGGTGGAATTGCAAAAGCTACAGTAAACACGTGTGCTTTGACATACGTACCGCTGACTCTGGAAAAGAAAACGCATTCATGGACGCATGATGGGGAGTAGTGACATCGTGACGCCTAGATGCCGCGTTCAAAGTGGTACGTGATTCTCGGCTTGACTTGTAGTTAGTCATGCAGCCATGTCATCGATAGTCTGCGGATGCGTTGCTAAGCTGTGACCGAGCAGATGACATAGAAACCACAGCGGGTATGCCGAAACCAACAGCTAAGAACAACAGTTTAGGATACACGCTATTCCCTGCGAGCAACAGTGGGGTGAAAGAACGCATCAGCAGTACATCGGTATGCAGTACCGACGCTTCGCTGCCGCGCAACCACTGCTAGTCGTGCGTGGGCTAAGGATACTGTGAAGATCGCCTGGGTCCTACGCAAGCTCGAACCCGCGCATTCGGGTTACAAGGCAAGCTTGTGATTCTCAAGGCTACAGACCGGATGAAATCGTCCTCCATTTCAACTCATATACTGTGACTCAACCTGGAAGTATGTCGAATCCAAGTGCAGTAACCCGTGATGTCATTAACAAAGAGAGAAAATAGTAGGGCAAAAGGTTCAAAAGATTAAAGCGTGAAACGGAAAAATCTGAGATCATCAGATGTTGATGTTAACATGGGAAAGTAAGGGGCCAGAAGCAATGGCGCAAACGACTTGGTGACCAGACCGAGTCAGATAGGGTAGCGAACAACTGGAGAGGTGAAAGCTAAGGTTCTTATGTGAGCAGACCGCACGTACAGAATTGAGTCAACGCTTCAATCAAATTCGTCATATTCGGTGGTTTCACAAAACAAACACGCAGTGGTACCCAGTGGGAAGACGCACGAGGAGCGTAATGCAGGAATCGTAGGCGAATCAAATTCAAGAGAGGTAAGAGCAACGTCAGAGGGCTTATCGACAGACAACTGCTGCATATCACCAGCATTTGAACACCAGTGACGCTAGAAAATATGAAAAAGGCCTTATGGGAAAATGACGGAGTACACAACAACAGGAATGGAGGTAACAAAGTGAACTGAGCAAAAAAGGTGGACATGCACAGTAACAAGATAACATCATACAAAACAGGCACTGAGTCCCGAAAGGCAAGCGAGTCGTTGGGCAAGCAAGGCACCAGCGATTCAGTATATTACCTGGCGGAAAATGAGTACTCGGACAGAGCATTGTGATCTTCGGCGTGAAACGATGCCAGTGGACTGTTTCCTTGCTAGATCCCGCAATCTAATTCGATCCCATAATTACAGAGTGAAAAATAAACAATGGAGGAGCAGTTGTCGCTCAGGAAGAGAGGACAATGAGTTGCCGCAATAACCCCACAGAGCTACGATATTGTCATAATGACCCCAGCCAAGTGCCCAAGGAACTAGTAAGTTCACTTCCAGGTCACATAAAACGGCCACCAGCAGTTATTGGTGAAACAAGTGGAGTATAATGAAAAGAGCTATGGAAAACGCTACAAGACATGCTCGGTTCACTGAGAATATATATTGGGAAAAGGGTTGGTGCGTTGCAAAAGAAAGACGTCGATGAATATGCATCCAACCGAGTTTGGTTTCGCAACAATATAGACAAATCACCAAATCCAAGTAAATGGATTTCTGTACACGTATCAGATGGAAAAATTGTTACATAGTTCTGGCCATTCTCTCATCGAGCTTAGTAAATGTGTTGCCAAGGTTTCACCACTAATCTGGTTAATGTCCTCAATGCGGTTTCCCGTCGCGACTGCAGAAAAATGCCAAAAAATTATATCCCCGTATTTACACTCGCAACAAGGGTGTCAGAAGCCCCGCACTGGTGATATCGACTAGATTTGTGATGAAGCGTCTGTAACAGGGTTGCCAATCACAGTGAGGAGAACAGTAGCAGAATGATCTATCCGTGTTTAAAATTGCCCGTGTTTAAAATTATTTCAAGGAATAAGAGAGGAAGGGTTAAAGAAGTTTAAGAGGAGCATATGCCAGATATCTTCGAAACAAGCTGAACGGACGCCGCTGAGATACTCATGGTGGGATAATAAAGAAAGCTTACCTGAACACTACGCAAATACTGATCCAAAATAAGAGAGGCCAGTAAAAGTGTCTTGTAGCAATCCACCCCATCGCCCGCTGAAATTTCCCTGCACTCTTCTACAGATGGAGATCCAGAGTGGAACCCTTTCGAGGCCAAATGTGAGATCCAGGAAACAAGCAAGTGGGGAAAGTTGTGGGCCCACGCAAGCCGAGCACACATCGAATGGCACCGTGTGAAAAGCAGGGCAGAGAGGTGCAGCCCCACTGTCGGGTGCTCCTTAACTGTTGTCACAGTCGGAGCAGGATTTTTCACTTCTGAGCACCCTGGGAATGAAGAAGGTAGACGAGGAGTGGCGGTTACGCCCAGTCGCTCGGAGATGGTGCTGGCCACAAAACCGAACAGCTCATCGATGTAACGATCTTCCTCTCCGCTAGAGAGCAAAAGTTCCGCAATCCGGTGGAGAATCTAAGGAGCAAAATAGGGCAATGATCACTGTCAATAAACAGGCCAGCTAGTGCATACTACCACCGGAGGAAGGATAAAAAGCCGAGGAGAAACCGACGGTATGAAGGATTGTCAAAGGCCACTAAGATGGTTGAGTGGGAGGAAAACGGTTGGAAGCAAGGAGCCAAATGCAGGAGGGCCGCTGACGTCATGGACAAGCCACATCGAATGTGATAATCGACACATGTATGAAATATCCTAAAGCTAACCAGACAAACGCATATAAAAGTGTGTATTAGACTGTGTCAAACACGGAGACTAGCCAAATGTGACGAAGATCAGTAAAGAAAGCCAAATCAGACTGTAGACTATGAGAGTTAATAAGAGCGCTAAGCGATGGTGTCCAATCCTGCGGCTTCAAAAGGTAAACTTAACGAACCTGATCAGAGTGATGCCGTTCAGCAATTGTGTAGCAAGCGCGAAATACGTGTTGCTTCAATGATTCGCGCAGAGCACCAATAACCTCGGGAGCAGGAGTTTCCAATTCAACGGGGAGAATGGGAGGCTCATTTGAGTTCGATGTCGGAATTCCAGTTGATGGAGTCGGAGTTGCACGCGGAACAGACCGTGGATCACCAGGGTTCGTCTAAAAAACGATGCATGACAATCGTCAGTACATGCATATGAAACTTTCATGGATTTATGAGGGCATGCAACGACAGGTTGGAGTACGAAAGCCTGCGGTGGTGACAATCAAAAGCACGACATTTCTTAAGATGACATCCACAAATAAGAGGATGATAAAACCTGTTTCTAGTATTAATGAGTCGTCGAATTGGCGCGATTTGAAAATGACGGAGGGTTTGTGAAAGTTCAACGGAGTCCACCGGTGCGATTTTGCGACCATAGAAAAGGAGCAAGGAAATTCGCATGGACTCATAGTTGCTGCATCAGAGCGTTGAAGGAATCAGCCTTCACCCAAAGATGGAAAGAAGAGCGAAGGTAATACGTAAGAGGAACGGTACTCAATGGATTGGGGATCTACATATATACTTGAAGAAACCTAGTCAAAAGTACGGGATATTAGCAGACAATGACTAGACGAAGAGTGAAGTCAACAAAGGACGACGAGGATAAATCGAAGGCGAAAAACAAACAACTCAAAAGAAAGGATCAGGCGCAGTGGGTGGGAACAAGTGCTTAATCCCCATTTACTCGGAATTACCATCCACCACCCACCCCCAACAGTGTTTGATCGTGAAAATAGTGCATCCTGTGGAAGTGGTAGAAAAAAGGAAGCGTAAAGGTAGTGCATCGGTGCTTCGCAAACAAAACCCCTAGCAGTTACGTGTGGGGTGGAGTACTACGAGATCAAGCACACTTATGCAGACTCAAACGATGGGCCGCGGATCGCTCCACCACGGTTGGGCTCGGACGTGATAAAAGAAACACTAAGTGGCTCATCTACTGGATGTAGTTGGTGTTCAGCTGTTTCCACTGGAAAAAGGTACGTGAGCATTAGGAAGGATGTTGATCACAAACAAACATTCCAACCAGAATCCGCCCTGCTGTTGGAAGAGTTCCGAACAAGGAATAGCAAACAAGTAGTTCGCAGAAACCTATCCTCAGATGTTCACATCTCTCCGGTCTAACTATTACTAAGCGTGACTGATGGAAACGCTTTAAGATAACCTTGTGTTAGATGGTAGCAAACGTCCTTGTTGTTGAATGCGGAACTGTTGTGGTAACCATAAGTGAACAAGCCGGTACTGGGAGCAAATGCAGACGCTATTCTGTGTCAATCCTGGCCCATCAATAGGAAAACAACCGCATAATCCGCACTGGGACAATCAGAGGTCCAAATGCCGCTATGAGAATGTCCTACATCGAGGTAGTTGCAATCCAACGCATTCCATACGAAGCTCAATGAGGAAATGTCCGAAAGCCAGAACGCGGAAAGAGAACCCTAGTTAGAACGTTGAAGGAAACCGAGGGATTTGGAAATTTTAAAGTTGGGTACTCTCCACTACGATTCCTCCTTTCGTACAAAATGGATAACGCCTTGATAGGAATGAAACGGGAACAATTAGAGAGAATTTATGGACCTGTAAAAGTTGAAAGCTACTCAGACGAAATTTGTTCATTACTACCGAGTTGAGAGAGCAACAGCAAAATAGGTCGTAGTTTCGAGTTATGAGACGGGTATCCAAGCTATATGGCAGATGGTAGTTAAGAAAAAAAGGCGAATTGACGGGCAGAAGTACGGATGTGGCTTAGAGCAGTGTTCACATCACTTTGACGGACGCTAACAGTCGCATGAGAGCAGAACTGGAGCGATTAACATATGAGCAGACCAGATGAATTTCCGTACGCAACAAACGTTGACCGATAGGGACTCGATATCACAGAAGTCCTTTCGAATGACTAAAGAGTACTAACTCATGCAGATGTCATCCGGTGGCGGAAAAGATTATACGCCTGCCTTGCAATTCGTAGGTCATCGGTTCGAAACAGCGTAGATGACGGTGACACTGCAATACACCCAGCCCAAGCGCAACTGGTGATAGTTACGAGGCAGCGAAGCGCCCGGTACTGCTGAGGTCGAATACATGCAGGCTGGTGTATCCGTGTCGAGCAAGGTCGAGGTATTGAATTTTTAACAGCAAATGAGTAACAACACTTAAACGAGAAACTGTAGCTGTGATGTGAAATAACAACAAAGAAACCCGGGGGCAGTCAACATGAGTGGCAACAAGCGCCGTAGCGAGAGACTGGTGTGTGTGTGCGTGTGTATGTGTGTGTGTGTGTAACGGAGAAAAGTTGACATTTGCTGACAGGCTGTTCGATGTCCTTGGTTTCAGAGGCTGAACAATAGGGAGAAGCCAAGCACCGGACAATGCATCACAAACCTTCCAATTCCACAAGGAAACTACTCGCCAGACTGCTGTCATAAATATCCATAGCCATCACACAGAGCGCTCGAAATGAGCGAAATCGGTCACTGCAATTCAACGGCGTAGCAGCGACAGGCAAGCAGATACTCAACAAGATCAGGTTTCAGCAGTGTACAACTGGTAGCAAAGATGAACTAGAAGGTACACAAGCATGGAAGCCGCGCGGAAACTTCTGCCAACTTTAGGGGGTAAAAAGTATGAGGAGTGTGTCATCTATGAAGCCCTATATGCCATTATCCACTCCACGTGAGAAGCATCCCAGCGACTGGTGCGGATTCAATTCGCAAGAGAGATTCTTTTGAAAATTAGATGCAGTGGGAAACAGAACTTACGGTGCGTGCCGATGTGGAATCATCATGGTCGATGGTATTTCCAGTGGTGGCGATGAATGAGGATGCAGCGGACGCCACTTGCATTGCAGCTGTTGCGATGGCCGAAACTGAGCGATCAATGGCACTGTCGTCGTCCGTTGGGTTGGCCTGGTCAGCTACATCTCTTTGTCGAGTCGAACGATTTCGAGGAAAAGCCATCCAACCTGTTGTATGTCGAGGTAACGGAATGGGGCGAGAAACATTGCTGAGAAGTTCCTGTTCGGGAGTCGCTATCAGCAGATTCACGGCCTCATTAGTATTCCATCCAGTTTGCTGGGATTAATGGAAACAAATAGTACGGAGTTTAACAAAAGGCGGTACCACCCACGAGCAACCGTCGATGTAAGCTAGTATTCAGTCAGGACCAAGGTTTGTAACCATGGCTAAACAACCGCAAACGCACAGTACACACGTGATGGCTAACCTCCAACGCAACCGTCGCAAGTTGTCGAGAAAATCCCATTTCTTCCAGAAGAAGAAGGGCGGAAGCACCTCGTGGATCAGATTCTGATTCACTTTGCTCTGACTCTGAGGTGTCCATAGGTTGTGGTGCAGGAGCAGTGACTGAGTCACCCGAGGGCAACTCAGCAAGAACCGGTGTCGGGACCGGAGAGTCGGGACGATTGCATAGAGCTACGGTCGGCTGGAAGAAAAATAGATGAATACGATCAATAGTACACCAAGGAAGATGGTGAACTAGTGACAAGGCAAAATCGTGCGCGCGATCAAAATGTAGAGGTGGGGGAGCACAGAACAACTTAAGCTAGTTGGGCGGCATAAGCAACAATAGAAATAATGAACATCGAATAAAACACACCCTCAGTGTATCTTCTGAGGGTAAACTCCAAGCGGCTGTATTGTTGATCGATAGGCGGGGGTCCACAGTAGAAATGGAATGTCCTGCTTCATTTGTCGTGTTCGGAGCACGAGATGCATCTGAAGATTGTGCTGTAGTAGTTGTTGTAGCACTTGGTATGCCAGGGAGAGACTAAATGAGGAAGTTGATGGTCACGTAAGCACAGTGATTTTCGGTGAGGACAGACTAAAAGTGTTACTAAAAATGTTACATCAACAATCAATGTACCGAAGACGCATATGGAAGATTAAAAGGTTAGTCATTATTTTGGGCGACCGAACAGAAGTGCGATTGAGACGCGCAAAGGAGGCCAAGGTCGATAACGAAAATGCCAGAACTGGTACGAGAAGTGTAACGGATCGGCACGACCGAAGCATTTTCTAATAATCCCACCTACACATTATAGTGTCTAAGTGAAATCATGCTGAGAGGAGCATTGATCGCTGGACGGTAAATGACACATCATACCTATGTGCCAACGATGCACCGCCGGAAGTAAGGGTGAGGCTAGGACATATTCTCTCGTTGATGTCACATCACAATTTAAGATGCTTCAGAGGATGACAAAAACAGGGGGTTTCTGATGGGGATCCATTGAAAGGGACTCTTAAACGGCAGGTCCGCGTGCAATTAATTCCCCAGAAGATCTCTAGTGTAGCCTTATTTGTGTGATAAATGGCGCTGTGATACTATCCAAAAACGGTACAACAATCAGCCGCAAGTACCACCTCACAGACAAGTTACTAGCAGATTTATAACCAGCAGCATGGAATCCGTTGGTCGACAACACCATGATGGTCCACAAAGTACAAAGGCCCATCTGGAGAACTAATTAGCACATCAAAAGCAGCGTAATACCTGGAAATGTGTGGCTGTAACATACGCATGGTATCATGAGTGAAACGGCACCTTGGAAACGGAAGCCAGGCATCACCACATAACCGGAGTATTCACACTCATTAGCCAGTGTATAAAAGGCATGCTTCCTCGTCCAGTCCCAGAGACTGGATACATGATAGCGTGCAATAAAGGGTCAACACAAGTCAAGATGGTGAGGCACTGGTGAAATTGCGGGACAAAAACTTGAAGCTATGAAGCTAACACGAGCTAAGCTAATTCCGTGAGCAGTTCTGAAATCAGACTAAAGAAATGTCCACCAAAAGCTTAAGACAACTTAAAGCGAAGGAGCGCCATGGCTACTAGACGGCGTCGAGGAGGTAAACGCCACTCATCAAAAAGAGTAGCTCCAGAAGAATGGGATGAGGGAACACGAAGAAACTGGCGACAGCTTGTAGAACGGTGATCAAACTGGGACAAATATTGGTGCTTACGAATCAGCATCAACAGCAGTATGTCAGTCATTTGAACTGATGCTTCGTTGCCATACAACCATAACTGCCTATTGCACGAAGAATATTAAGAGGGAGAGAAGGGGGACTTACCTGAAAACCTTAATGTTCTAAGCAAACATTCAGGGTCAAGGTAACTACATCTTGTCAACAACACACCGTCACAAACAGCTGGCTATCGTGCAAAGATAAGGCGGTATCGGCTAGTCAGCTTCCTTGTGGCTTTCACTGTCCCGCGTCATAATCAGCAGCAGATAACAGCACTAAACACAATGTAACCAGAAAACTCGAGTTATAAACGAAAGCAGATATGCCACTTATGCTGAATATGTGCCAGGTCCTGTAACGTCTTAAGCCAAGCACAAGCCGGGTCACATGGACTGCATCCTGAAAGGCGATACGGACCGACGGCACCCGTTGCCAAATCAGCTTCTGTCCACCTCGAGCCTTGCGCCACCCTACATCTGGCAAGCAAAACAAGGCACTCCTCGGAAAGCGATGACGGGGCAAATGTATTACGTGCCCAAGCCAACCCAGCTTGTTTATTGCTATTCGCTGTTCTAAGCAAGCAGCTTGGTTATCACCACCTAGTACTCGCCTACGCACATCTACTGCAGATATGCTAGTGCCATCCGACAGCAGCAATGCTTTGCAGACAACGAGGATCAAAGATTTGAAGACGTCACAGATCTTCAGACCGAAGGGGCCAAGTCTCAATAACATAGAGTAGGAAGACACTAACTGTAGCCTTGTAAACATGACCTTTCGGACGGAAGGAAACTCCTTTCCGTCGACAAAAATGTCGCAATGTTGCAAGACGTGAAGTGACTCCAGTCGCTAAATCCTCATGGCTGCTGGTGCAGCTGGAAGGGCAGGTCAATTGATCAACTACCTCGAATTCATCGTCATCAAGAGTCAAGGGGTCACCGAGTGGCTGGTGGTCCTGCAGCAGCACTGCAATTTGAAGGTGCGAAGCGAATACCAAATAATGGGATCACTATAGAGAGGCCAAACAGGGTTTAATGCGTCCCATCAACAACAACAGCAAGAAGATATCAATCGCATAAGCAAGATCTACAAGCCTCTCACTAGGCAGCAGTCCAAAGCTAACATCGCGAGAATCCGCAAAAAAGCACTCCATGGTGCAGTCCAGGACGAAGTTGTACAAGAATGGGGAAAGTTCAGAACCATGACGATCGTCACTTGTTAGAAAGGCATCCGACAGGTTACTGTAGAATCTGATGTGGCCTGTCGTGTTCGAGCATAGAGCACGTAAAATGCTCACATATTTCATGTGAACACCTTTCCGTACAAGTATTTCGATCGACTGGATCGAACGCATTGTGATCGAGGAAGATAGCGGTCTGCGGTATGTGTGGCGCTGTTCTAGCACCGCCGCAGGGTGAATATATGGTCTATAGAGCTCGTCCAGAGTAGAAACCTGTCCGCTCTTCCCTAATCCGGGATTCCTGTTCCGCAGTGAGGCGAAGAACGAGAATCGAGGTCGGTACTTTGGTCACAACTGGCGTTAGGCTAATACTCCTGTGGTTAGCACAGTCGGTGCGAAGGCCCTTCTTGTATATCGACACTATAACCGATTCATTCCAGTCAGCTGAGAAGGTCTCTACCTTCAAGACATGTTCGAGCATGAAGTGCTTTGTAGAGGACCTCATCTCCATCCTTAGTGCATGTGGAGGAGAACCGGGGCCATCGGCACGAAAACGATTGAGGACTGTGATCGCGTTTTGGATCTCAGCCTCCGATGGAGCGTCTAAACTAACCGTCCATGGCTCATTCTGCATCACCTAAGTAGGAAGATGTCCAGAACCAGGAAGACAACTAAACTGCTCTCGAAAGTGCTCTGCCCAACGAGCCATACGCTGCTCTTTGTTGTGGATCAGTGCACTCGCGCTGTCGCTGACTGTCTCACTGACGTCTGGTTCCCCAGGGCTAGTGGTGCGGAGAGTACTACAAGCAGATGCTCCTGCGTCGCGCATGATGACCGAGATCCTATTCCATTGAAGCTCAGTGCCATTAGGACAAGGAAGCGAAAGTTCGGTACCCAGTGCACCTTGATAGGCTTGCCTGAGATAAATTCTTAGTTGCCAACCGAGGGAGACGCTTGGTGCGCGTCCCGGTGAAGGTCATCGAAAAACGATAGCGCACGAACACATGATCAGAATCGACGCAAGTACTCCAGAACGAGCGGCAACCCAGGATGGAACCACGCCACCTGTAACTTACGGCAATGTGATCGATTTGGGCCCCTCGCTGGCTAGCTAAAGGGGGAGGCCAAATGGCACCTTAGTGCTTATTGTTTAAACGATCTCATTTCGTAGCGCAAGATATAATAATTTTTTTAAATTTTTGCCTAGTAGCCGACTGGTAGCTTACCGGAACGATGCCTATCCGTTGCTGGTAGCTCAGCTGGCATGCAACTGATGTATTTATTTTTCCCTTTTCCTTTATGTAATGTATGTATGTATGTATTTCCTTTATGTATTGCGGCACGATAGCGGAGGTGTTTCCCACCTCTAGCTGACGTGTTTAATAATGATGAATGATGATGATGAAAAGCGGTGCTACTATTAAACAGCTGGTGCTCTGAACATAGTTACATTAGACGCTCGCCATTGTTCGTCCGGCTGAAGTTAAGTCCATACGTACCACCTAGCTGATCTTCCGAAGAGTTCAAACGTCCTACTTGCGCATTCATTTCTGCAAGTATTATACTGTCTGAAGTAGTATCACCTCGTAGTAGCGTGCTCAATTTTTGGTAGAATGTGTCTTTGACAGCACTTGAACTGCAGTCGGTGGGAGCATAAGCGGAAACCACAAACAAACATCGCCTAATGCTAATTCGTGTATCTATTTTATTTAAGCTCGTCCGACTGGCTGTTCACGGGAATCCAGTCAACTAACAATGACTCGGCCTTGGAGCTGAGAACAATGTCCACTACAACTTGACCAGTGGTTTCTGCATCAGCGTCTCGGATGCGTGGAACCAACAGTGAGAGGACAAACTGGGCGCAATGAGACTGTACTTTAATGTGATGCGACGGTTTGCGTACCTCGTCGACCGATTGACCTATACTGGTTGGTGTTCCCGGGCCTCTTGAGAGCTATTCTTCAAGATTGTTCAATGGTTAGAGGTCAGACAAACTCAGTCTCCTGATCCTCCAGGTTGGGGGTTTGAAATGGGACGGCGTCCATTTCTGTAAAACGAAATCACTGTCACCCTGCTGCCTTATGAACAGGCTTACGAATAGAGGGTAATCGAGTTGCGGCATCCGGATGCACTAAAACACGTAGGATCATTTTCCATAGGAAGAAAGAAACACTTCGGAAAATAATGCCGACAACATTTGGAGGTGTTTGTGGATCAGTGAAAGCTCACGACAACTGTCATGCGCTGTCAGTATAATAATTGCTAGTACTTTAGAAGTCGCTACTCACGGTAATCAAAAACTGAAAAAACGAACTTCCATAAAATACCATTCTGTTAGAAGCACTAGACGCAACCTGTAGTTAGTCCTAACAAGATAACAAAACTCGGCAAGTACAACAATATGACTAGTAAGGTAACAGGAAGTACTCCGATGATAACAAAAAAGGTGATCCAAAAGCCAACGGTGAAGACTAACCTCGAGCGCTGCAGCCGTGACCTCGGTGGGCTGGACTTTAATACCCGTATTGAACAAGTAAGGAACCACGCTGATTAACATGCTCAAAAGGTGTTCAACCGCAGCCTTTGTGAGTAGACTCTAGATTTCAAAAGGAAAAAATAAATAGGATCAAGTTGCGAAAGAACAATAGAGGGGAACAGCGAATTCAAGCTAATATACGATGGGGAAATAGACCAATCCAGAAAACAATGTCACAGATAGAAGTGCTATCGAGCAGAACAAAGGATTCTTGGTGATTGCATTTAAGCATTCAGATGACGGCGGGTAACCGAAAGAAAGAGACTCCATTTCGCATGGTGACCCTTACCGACCCTTCAGAACTTGTGTTATAAGTGGTGCTTTGCACCACGTGATCACCAACCGTTGCTAGTGGGGCGATGTGGAAAGGTAGGCCAAGTGCGGACAAACGCTACAAAACTGTGGCTATAGAAAATGAAATCAAGATTTTTCTAGCAGCCAGTGTGATAGGCAATGGGTTATGAGGTGCAGACCTCGAGAAACGATACGTTGAGGAATGATGAAGTAATGCTCAGCAGTTGGTCGGGTCACGTCAATTAAACGGCTATTAGTAGGAGTAAAAAATAAACTTGGAAGAGAAGCAGAGTGGCAATATTCAGCTGCATCTACAGATGTCCGAGACACAACCCAGCTGTACGATGCGGAAAGTAAAAATAGGTAGAAATAGCCAGGGTGGCTGCTCAAGTAGGTGTCTGGACTGTCGTTGAAGTGAATTAGTCCCAAATGTTGAGGGTTTAATAATAGTAGTTAGTTTAGTACCCGTCATATCTTGGACATAAAGGTGCAGTAGATTCCGTTGCTACAAAACACATCGTGGTGTTTATAAGAGCATATGTCGTGGAGAGAAAGGATGGAAAATACATGAAAGATGAAAAGGATTCAAGAGAGAAATGAAGTTGGATATAAAGGAACGGAGATGTTGAGCACAGAGGAAGTCAACAGATCTACCACCAAAATTCATCAAGCAGGTACGAAAGTAAGTGGAAGAGTTGTTATCGATTTATGAACAGATTCAGCATGCACAGTTTGTTACACAAAGCCCAAACCTTACTCTGGTACAGTTCAGCCAGCCAATTTTGTATCCTCAACCGAACTGAGGTGGACTCTGTTACCTAGTCAGGCCAGCAACTAGGTGCTGCCACGTGTCCAACGTCTGCGAGCTAGGGATATGGCGAAGTCTCACGTAGCTACTACACAGGTGCAAAACAGTGTGGTCTCCATAACTCAAGCCAGACGCCTGAGGCACTCAATTAACGGACGGCCTTGAGTCACAGACCGGAAAAACAACAAAGATCCCAACAGTGACAATAATGAGCACTCAAGAAGAAAAAGCAAAAAGAAAAGTCGTTAGATGGAGTTGTAGAAGGTCAAAAAAGAAAGCAAGTGTAAGAACGTAACTGATTCCTCGGCTATGCCACTGATATGGCCGATCTCTGAAGCAAAATTTCCATGCGATGCGAAAACTAGGAGAAATGTTCGCATACGTCACACTATGCATTGATAATGTGCGAATTGTGGTAAATATGGACTGTTACATCAAGGGTGAACAGGGGGTGAAGTTTTACGGCAGATCGGTGACCAAGTAACAAGTGGAAAAAATTACGGAGCACGCAGATACATATGATGGGATGATGGAAGAAAGAACTATATTTGCTAACCTGGAGATCGTTCCTGATGCACAACTGTTCCAAGGAAAACAGCATGTGTTGATGAACAAACTCCAAGTGATTTGTCGCGTGAACTACAGAGATTTCGCTCTCAGGTGTACGAGAAATATCGTTGCTGGCGTTGTCCGCATTGCTCAAACGATCAGCACAAGCAAGCCACTCTTCAAGAACCACCGCAAGTGGCTCTAAAAGAGAGAGAGAGAGTAAATGTTACCTCCGTAGCGACGGAGGTCTTTTATATGACGGTATTTCAAGAGAACAAAAAGAAAGCGCAAGGTCAAGCAGTGGGGAATCTAAAGAGTAAAGACGGGTGTTGGTTCCTGCGAACTGAGCCCTGTGAAAATGCCAAAGATTTAATGTTTGGATGAAGACAGTACAAATATGCCACTCATACCGCAGTGGCCAAGCACAATGGTGAGATAGCTATTGAGGATAAACAAGCGACTGGTCTGTGGAAACAAGGTTATTGCAGGTATCCACAAGGCAGCGCTCACAGTTGATGGGATTCTCTAACCAGAGGCGCAAACCAGCATCGCTTTTATTGGTTAGGCCAGGTGCTTCGTGTGCATGCCAACCACGTAAACTGATGTGTTTGCTGAGAAGGTAGCAAGTTGAACGCAACCTGACAACAATCAGGCTACGTAGAAGGAAGCTAACTAAACGGAGCAATTAAAGTTGTTCGTTTCGTTGCACTGAGTAGAAATCACTGCATCGAGCACACCAGTTGGGTAGCTAACTGGTTTCACGTTCAACTCGTATAGTTCCATTTGACTCTGCGATGCCGGTCCGCATATTACGTGCCTGTCCATTTTCAAATTCCTAATAAATTTTACCTATAGCTCCAATGTGAAGACATCCGAACTGATCCACGATTCCGTTGCTCATCGGATCGCGATCAGCAAAGTTACAGACGTAATTAGGGACAGTGAGGCAAACCAACAGCATTGTGTGATGGCTTAGGACAGAAACGCAGTGTGCCCAACATGCAACAGATTGGAATTGTTGTGAGAAAACAAAGGTTGGAGGTCCACAGCATCAAACTGGCTCACCTCTGACATTTGGATCCGTCAAGTCGAAGCTAAGGAGCTCGTGAAACAGTCTATGGGTGGAAGAAAAAGCGAAACCAGTAAGGTCGATAGTAAGAGAAAGAAACAGCCATGAAGCGCTTGCCACAGTGCAAGAAGCGGTGTAGTCAAGATGCTATGCGAAGGGATGATCCGTGACCAGCACATAATGGCAAAGTAATTGTGAATAAATCTAAAATAGTTCGCTAGAGAAATAACCAATGAGAAAGGGTCAAAGAGGAAAGTCGTGTCATGAATTACTACTGAACACTTTAAAAGAACCGCAAAATGAAATAAATGAACAGCAAAGTAGTAAACAGTTTAGTCTGTTCCGTTTGTCAATTAGGGTTACTCCAACAAGGGGCGGTGGATCAAATTACTCTGATCCACTTCGCCAAAGCAAGAGCTAGTGATAGTAATGGCATAATAATAACAATAATAAATAGTGGATGAGAATTGAAATCACCAAACGAAGCAGTTAAAGGCCAGAAACAAAGGAAACAGTTAACGGATGTTGTTCACGGATGTTCTGTCAATTTTAGACCGATCAGCTAAACAATTTTCAGTGATAGGTGACGACAGAGGACCGAATGAATGAACTCACCCGAAATAACGTCGGACCCCATTGACAGCGAGAAAGGCGTTAAGCAAGCCACCTTGAAGTCCTTTCTGATTGGAACCAAGCATTAAGTTATTGGTCAAACGGATCGCAGCATATCGCATGGCGCAGATTAAACCAGGAGCAGCAGGATGACACCGAACGGAAGAGGATGCCTCCCAAGCCAAAGTGTCGGACAGAACGTGCGATATCTGTGACAGTGCAGCGTACTTAGTAGAGCTAGGGATTTGTTCACACGGCAACAGTGTCATCCGGCGACGACGGTAGGTTGACTGGTTCCGATTGGCAAAGAAGCGTTCCCAAGCGGTACAAAGCTCCGTGAAAGAATTGATCAAAAAAGCGGTCACGTGAAGAATTCGATGAGTAGCCTTTGTTAAATCTAAGAGCATACGGAAAAGAGGACTTTACGCGGTGGAATTTAATAGCTGAAGGATGTGAACAAACAGAATGTCCATCAGGGACATTCGAAGGATGACGTTAAACAGGTCGTATTTGTAAAGAAGTAAGCCGAGTGTGTGGTACAAGTACAAACCCGGGGAAACTTTTGTCGATTGCTAATAATTTGCTACAGCAGTCGAAAACGAAGTAACAAGGTGTGTAAATCGACTTACCAGGTCGATGGTGAAGGAATGCGTTCTTATTGTCATCCACTGGAGGTTTAGACGGCTTCAATAATGAGTATATGTGTAGCGCTTCAACAAACTGAGGTAGCGGAGTGGTTTCAGTGACTGGCTTAAAAGAAGAGGTCGCATCACTGGCGAAAGTTGATACAGGCTTGCAAGCTGACAAAGTTTCCGAGGGCGCTCCGTCGGAAGTGACATCCCGTGAGGGGAGCTGCATGTCGAATTCAGTAATATCTTTATCTCCAAAGAGTAATTTCAGGAGAATACTGGCTTCCCAAGACACACTTACATAGAGCCGCCTGTAGATAACAGGGAAGAGGCGTAAGTATGGAAGCAGAAAACGGCTGCTGGGAACACCAGCGTCAACATAGATACGAAAACGAACAGAAACAGCGCTTCGACCCATTGTGACACGATGCGAAGTTCAAGATGTTAACCAGCCCGTAGAGCGACTGAAACTCCGCATCCGGGTTACACAGATTCTCAATTATTTCATATGGCAATAGGCCTAAAATACTGTGAACAGTGATACTGGACATAGAAACTGTTGTCAGATGAACGGGAACAACAATAATTGCATGTATTTATCAGTGAATGTGAAGCATTCGATACAGTGACAAAGAAAAGGTCAGTGTAGTGGAAGCGCTGTGCCAGTGTATTGGAACGATACGAACAGCCCAGAATACTAACCAATAAATGAACAAAGGAATAAATAAATAAAGGAACATATTTCCAAACAAGTGGGATACGTTCGCATTTTGGAACATGTACACACACCAAAATTCGGTGGATTTTGAAACAAGAGGGGGTACAATATTCCGCATAAACTAAATGTAAGCGCGCAAAAATTGTCCCCGGGTTACGGTTCATCCACGACCGGGAAACCATGTTCTGCATAAATAAGTGGTTGAAAAAGTTTCAATGTATCATCGGTCGCAAACAACTAGGCAAAGGTTCCTAAGGGAAATCCGGAACCATCAAACTTACCCAAGTGTTTGCAGCATATTGCGACCGATCCACTTGTTGGCAAGTGATGGTCTTAGCTCAGGTTTCAAGTGATCGATAATCTGCACCATGATACAAATGATAGAAGCCGTCACAACAAGCTCATGTAGAAGAGTATGCTCGCCAGAGACATATTCATGAAGAAGTACGGAGCTCATCGTAGGCTGTGAGTTTTGCAAAAAAGTCAACTTTTCCAGAGAAGATTCCAAGCACTGTAAAATATAGAAAAGTACAGGGCATTTGGGAACCAGGCAGGCTGTGTGGAGACAAATAAGCGGACAATATATAAGGTGTTAAGCCCCGGTACTTTCAACAGTGAGCGAAACTGACCTGAAACAGAGGATCGATTACATCGTTAAGATAAATTGAATTGGCCAAATCTTCAAAGATTTTGCATAGTGATGCACAAGCCGCCGATACCGGGAAATCGTACGGAAGCCCAGGCATGCAGAGTAGGTCGCAGAGCACTTGAAGTCCCCCATGACTCATGAAGTGCCGGCACATAGCCTCGGTAACGTGCAGCACTGACGGTAAGAGCTTTTCCAGAAATTTACACTGCAATTAGAGCAATAAGACAGATAAGGAGACAGAAGATATCAAGATAGGTTTCTGTGCAAAACTGAGACGAAGTGTCGACAAGTCCCAATGGGTAAGATTCTTTGTTGCAGTTAATGCTGAAGGACAAGGAAGTTGGCGACCAAAGATGCTCTGCTGGTTTGTCTGGGGACAGAAAGATCAATGCAAACCGGAACCGGGTGAAAATTTACAACCGAAGAGGGCTAGTAAAAGTCACCTAATCGTGTTGATAAGCGGTTTATCGACGAAATTCAAGGGAACAGTGTTCAACTGACAAAGCGAAGAACCCTTTTTAAAATATTGTTGGCCCATCATAAATAAAGTAACACAAGGCTGAATTTAGGGAGCACGCTATGTGGTTGGGTTGCGACTGGCAACCTCTATTGAGACCTCGGCTCTTCCCAGGGAAAAGCAACACCCAAATATATCCAGTGATACAAGGATATACCTGTGATGCGTGCGATCCAAAGTGGGGAATGGAACGAGGCACTGGTGGCAAAGTGGATCGGGCCACTTGTTTCAACTCGGAAATAAGTTGTCTACAGACTTACAGTGTTGAGCATGAAGTCCGGTAAGAACGTGTACGGGGATACAGGAGAACCATCTTGAGAAACGGGCGCCTTGATGTCAGTAGGTCGCGATTCATTGCTCCTCAAACTAAGTGATGGAGCCGGTGAGGCAGACCGTGAATCCATCCTGGTTAGATTGCGAGACGGACGAGTAGCAGAATGAGCTTGAGTAGCACGAGTCAAATCATCGATATCGTTATCGTCATCGTCATCCTCTTCTTCGCCTCCAGACAGCATAACTACATCATCGTCTAGCATCATCCCGGAGCGACTGGTTTCCTCAACTTCCATATTCGCAGCTGCACTCGAGGAGCAGCAAGCACTGGCCAGCGCGCAGCCCGTGAGACATGGAAGCGATGTATCCAAATGCTGACAAGAGGCAGTCCTCGAGGAAGATTGTGATGCTTTCTGGTCAGTGTCCGAACAATGCACTATAGACGTACCGGGACACGCTGTCTCAACGATCAGACTAGCTGGTTGCATCCTTCCCAACTCAACAACACGTCGAAGACACTAGAAACGCAAAAACCAACAAGTGAAAGTCAATAAAGATAAGATTCAATGTCAAAAGCATAGACAACATTGAAAATCATAATATGACAACGGGGCACTGATGAAGAAAGTTAAAAAGATGTTAGATGTGATGCCGAGGCAAAAGAATCGAGTCGATTTGTGGCACTGAAAACATTGGTCAATGAAAACACCATATAAGGAACGACCAAATTTAAACAAAAGCTATTAAGAAAATAATTCTAAGTTCCCACCAACAAGACGGATGCTAGGTATTGCTCGTTCGCAACAATGCGTTTCTACCAGCTATGTTAGTGAACAGAAAAACAACTTGAGAATATCACTAATTTCTAGGTCCTGAGTAAGTAATCAAGAAGCTCGTTTCTCCAGGTGAAAATAAAAGTGAAATCAACTTTATGAGCTTGCAAATCGAAGTACATATGTGGAAAGAAGTGTTTGTTCACGAGGATAGAATTTGTATCCGTCCATAGATCGAATAATGCAAATTAGATGAGGTAAGTAAAAGCATCCACAGGTGGACAACGTGATGGTAGAAACAAGATGCTAGCACACCCGTCGACAAATCGCTCACTACAATGGCGGTTACTTACAAAGAATTGAGATAATCCCTGAATACAGAAAATGCATCGTATAGAAAACCCCATTGCCATAACACTCCATCGAATTCCAAGCCAGTAGATACTACGAAAGATTACCTGCTGGACACTCCTGCATTTCATCCACAAATCTACAGAGGAAGTGGTCGTAACAGGTTGACCAGCAAAAATAATTTGAGAGCGCTTTCTTCTAATTCACCCCACACCTGTGCACCTACTCTGAACCAAACATTCTCCTCCAACCCTTTTTTTAGGAGAATAGAGGATGGTTACGCAGCCGTTCCCATCAATGACACTCCAGACGGACGCTAATTATATGTTACCACTACCTATGCAGTTTCTTCAGATGACACAATGGGCTCAACACCACGCTCGTTGCAATGCGTATTCAATGCCCCAGCTGCTCCATTGTCCCCTGGTCTGTCAAGACTATATATATATATATATATATATATATATATATATATATATATATATATATATATATATATATATATATATATATATATATATATATATATATATACTGAATACTGTATTATAGAGCAAGTAGAAATGGATTCTGTACAACTCTTTCGAGATATGGCGAAAAACGTTATAAAAGTTGTCAACCTTGAATATCATTGTCGTTCTCATGTAATATTTAAAATATTCGACTTACGATATTTCAGGATTCACAAATGTGATATGTCATCATAAGTGTGCAGTCGTTCTCTGAATCGAATAGAGGCAAAATGCAAATCTAACAACGTTTTGAACCGTTGCACAGATGTTGCCTCAATCACATGTTCGGGCAAACTATTCCAAATGTTTACCACTCTCCGTTCGAAGCACAGTGGGTGGGGAACACGTTTCATATCCGGCACAACAAGTTTGTATATGTGTCCGCGTGTGCAGCATGGCCCTCGTAAGTGCAGCATTGGCCTTAACATGGGGAACTCACCGAGATGTAGAATTCGGTAGGTCATAATGAGGTCGACTCGCACCCGACGGTAGGACAAGGTGTAGAGTCCTAGTTTCTCGCACCGGTCTTCATACCCAAAGCCACGTATATATATATATATATATATATATATATATATATATTTATATTTATATATATATATATATTTGCAAAGGCCTGCTAACAGACATAATGCCATCAGAAACCATGGGATTCAAACGAAGGTACAGAAACAGTAAAATAAAACACAACGCAACAATGTCCATGGTTTCCTGAGGGCGAGATACTACCCGGTTGCCCAAGCCGAAGTAGGGTGTTGACTTAGGGGACACCACCCCGAGCCTTTGGCTGAATAGCCTGCCCGCAAGGCAGCGGAGCGAATTCAGGGAATCGCGCCCATTGGGAGCCGGTGACTGATTGCTCAGTTCATACGCCTTTCGTTTGTTCCTTTGTCAAACAAGGGCCCAATGCTCCCCAGAAGTACAGCATAAGGTTGCTGGAATACAATGCTCGTAAATGATAAATCGTCCTAACCTCCGAACTTATTAGTTGGAGATCCGGCTGCATCATGCATGTACTCATATGCCCTCCCCACAGATATCTACCTCAATGCTTCAGATAATTCCGATCTAAACATCAGAACGCTCAAGCCCACTGACGAGTTCAATGCATTTCCATCAGTAGATGGTCCCGCACAATTTCAGTAAAAAACGAACTTACACCATCAACCTCAAAGCAGATATGTTTTACTGCTCAATGCACATTCCTGCAAAAACGAAATCCATTTTTTACGCTCACTAATTTCCCTCTCTGGCGCACAAACCATACTCGTGACGGAGACATGGCTAATGGAAGACACTCCTGAGTTAGCCTGTAAAACTTTGAAGTACAATGCACTTATTGGATATCGTAAGTCTGGACTATGTGGCGGCTGCGCCATCAATGTATAAGAACCATTGCGCGTTTTATCAGTACATATATGCCCTCACATAAGTGACTACAGGACTACATTTTTATAAATGTGTAACTGGATAAAAGCCAGTTAATCATCGGGTGTGTATACATGCATCCTAATCCCAATTCCGCCCAAATTAATGCATTGCAAGATCTGTTCTGTTGCCTAGCAGAGCAACTAGCTAAGTACAAAATGATAGGAAATTTCAATATGTCGAAAATCTCGTAAACCTCTGCCATATGCTCACCAAATACGCAAATCTGATTTCATTCTTGGATACATTCGGATGGACACAAGATGTCACGACTCCCACCAGAAAGAACAACATATTTGTCCGTGAAAAGATAAGAAATCCCCGGAAAATCAAATATTTCAGCGAGTAATCGATTGTTACCGATATCTAACGATCTAAAAGTTCCAGTGCCTGCACGTGACTAGCAACCTCTGAAGATCGGTCAAACCTATGTGGAACAACTGACCTAGGCGGTTGATCTTGCTACTCCAGAAGTCGAAACTCAGTAAGAGACCTATAAATACAGCCAACGTCTGCTGCAGTTGTACCATGTTTTGTTGACAGCGGTTAACATGTCATTTTGTCAAGGTCATTGGTGTTCCGCATTTTCCTTCGGTTGGGTTAGAAGTTTTGTGGAGCAGTAAAGTGTCTATTTCGGAATTGCGTCCAGTGGGATGATTGTAACAAATGACGATGGGGATGAGATCCCAACAAAACTGCCACTAGACAAGGCCTCGGACATTACGATTATTTCCAGGAACACGTGGAATCACATAAGGATGCCAAAAATGGGCAAGTCTCACAAAGATGCACACAATGCATCCGGTGTTGTGCTAAAATTGGTGGGTGAACTGACTTGCAAGATTACATTCAAAGGTGTGCTACATTTCAGACCTGCCGAATTTGAATTTTCTTGGTCACGACTGGATTGAAAAATTGCAGCTTCTCGATGTTCCTTTGAATCAGATCTACAGTCGAGTACAACCAAATCCAAACCCATTACTTAAGTCTGTCAAAGACATGACGCGTTCGCTGAAGCGAAAAACTGCCTCTGTCTTTCAGGATGTCTTTGACCATTGTAGGAAATTCAAGGCAACACTGAGCCTGCGACCAGAAGCCTAACTCGTCTTTAAGGCTAAAAGACCGGTACTATATGCAGCTATGTCAACCGTTGATCAAGAGCTCGATCGACTGGAATGAGGCGGAGTCATCATGGGCCGCATCTATTGTCGCAGTGAAGAAAGCAAATGGCAAGGTACGCGTTTGCGCTGACTTCTCAACTGGACTTAACACCGCGCTGGACGACCAAAAGAACCCATTACCCGTACCGAAAGATATGTTTGCGAAATTGAATGGTGCTTTGCTAAGTTTGATCTGTCCGATGCCTACGTTCAAGTGGAGTTGTTGACGATCAACACTCATCGTGGGTTATTCCAATATAACCACTTGCCCTTTGGTGTGAAAACGGCGCCAGTCATTTCACACCAGTTGCTGGATACAATGCTAGCGGGCGTTTCTGGAGCCGCTGCATATCTGGATGGGTCGAACACCGGAAGAGCTATTTACCCGGTTGGATGAAGTGCTTGGTTGTATCCAGTCTTAAGGTTTCCGGATCCGTGAAGACAAACGCACATTTTCATGCCGATCATCAAACAGCTTAACTTTATCCTTGCAAAGAATGGACGTTGAGCAGATCCGACAAACGTAGCAGGCATTAGAAAAATGCCCCATCAACAAATCTACAATCCTTGCGTTCTTTTTGTGGGCTCATCGGCCACTACAGCGCATTTTTTCCCTGAGCTGCACCGCCTGCGTGCCCCGTTAAACAAGCTGCTAGCGAAAGAGCAAACTTGGAACTGGACATCAGAATGCCTTCGAACGGGTTAAGACATTGCTGTCCTCAAACTTGCTTTTGACTCATTTCGATCCCTCCAAAGAGATTATCCTAGCTACAGATGCATCAAGCAATGGGATTGGCGCAGTAATTTCACACACGTACTTCTATGGATCTCAGAAAGCAATCGCCCATGCCGCCAGGACACGTACGAAGACCGAGAGGAATTACAGCCAGATCGAGAAAGAAGCACTGACAGTAGTATTCGCAGTCAAGAAATTCCACAAAATGCTGTACGGCCGCCGCATCAAGCTTCTGACAGATTACAAGCCCTTGCTGACTATCTTTGGTTCGAAAAAGGGCATCCCGGCCTACAAAACCAACCGGCTACAACGTTGGGCTCTTATCTTAAGGGGGTAAGATTTCGAGATCCATTACCAGTCGACAATTGCTACTAGCCAAGCAAATGCACTGTCAAGCCTAATTGATGCCCATCAGCAAGAAAATAAGGACACAATCATTGCCAAGGTCGAGAACGAATCTGACGTCAACTACCTGGTGAGTGACGCATTGCACGACCCACCAGTTACCGCAGAATCTGTACGTACCGAAACGCTTCGGGACTCAGTACTCAAGAAAGT